AAAGATCAAACCGTTACTATATACCAATGGAATTACATTGTTAGCACTCTTATCAGGAACTGCCCTTTATCCATAAGCGTCATCTAAAACTAGTACAATAAGTGATAAATTTCCTTTTAACAAAGTAAAACATTGTGTTCTACTGCAATGACCAAATATTCTACCAGTAAATGTCAAAGGTTGGGAACACAGAACTCTTGTCTGAGATGATGGAAGGACATTTCCTGAAAGAAGAACCTGGCAAGCAACACTGGAAATTCTACTCTTTAAACTTCCCTTTATAAATCCCAGTGAAGCACCTCTCCCACTTGCGACACAGATAAAATGGAAATATTCTCATTCTTCTTTTCTATATTAGTGTTTATACATTTTATAAACATATATAGAGGCTTATGTTTCACATTTGTGTTTTTAAAATAACAATATACTTTGAAAGGTGAATCCAATGTTATTTAAACATATGTGTACAAGCCTTGGAGTTCAGTCACAAAGGTCCCATTGGGACAATTTTTTCTTTTTTCTGAATGTCACAACAGCTTTGGGTCACCAATGATTTTCCTTTGTTTTCCTTCCTGCCCTTGCCATGATCCAACCATGCCAGCAGGGAATCGGCATGATGCTTTGCAGCCAGCTTCAAAAAAGCTACATCTTCCCTAATGAGGTACTGAGTGGAGATAGCCACAGAGTCTGATAAAATTCCACTATGTAACTTTTGATGCTCCTAGCTCCATCTTCCACCCAAATCAGATGAAAGTAAGGAGATATATAAGATCATGAAACATACTGTAATAGAGATATCATAGCCAGGTGTATCCACAACATGGAGACCCAAACAGCTTTGAAATTTATTTAACTCTGTATAATTAGAACTCAAAGATTTTAAAAGTTAACATTTTAAATCATGCTGGGCATTATTTCAATTTTTATCACAAATTGCCTTGACAATGAAATAAAAATCATTTTCTGACCTAAAAATGTACTGTTAATAAGATGAAAATATTGCTATCATTAAAAGAGAAAAGTAGACTTGTCTAACCAAACTACACAGAATGACTTCAGTCCTGACAAAAACCCTCATGGGTCCCTGCGGTGAATGTAGATGCTATGGTGCGAGGTGCCCCACCTCTGTTCTCTGCTGCCAGGTGAACATCTGTTTTGGGTAGACCACAGACCAATCAAGATCAACACTAATGTTGAGTCCTGCATAGGACTGTGGGAACCCTGGAGAAAGGAGAATTAAGGTAATAGAGAACATTCCTCACATTCTTTTCTTCAGCATAATTCCTTGACTGTATTTCTACTCCACAGTTTGCATTAAATACAAGTTATAAGCCAGGCAGCTTAAAATTGCAAACCTTTTCTCCAGACAATTCAAATGTGCTCTAGTGAAGAAGAGTGAAGATTTTCTGCATTGTCATTATGAGCATTCAGACACATGAACTCATCTGGAAGACCCATGGAGCTGACCAAGAGCCCACCTGGACAGCCTCCTGAGAAAGACTGCATTACCTGGCTTTGGAGGAGAGATGCCAAATACCTCAGAATGTCCTCACTTTGTTGTCTAGTCGAGACCTCATGGTCTCCTATAAAAGTTATTAAGATAAAATTCCTACAAGGAAAAAAAACATTGATTTTACAGAGAAATTTTTGTGATATACTAGGAACACAATGCTGGAATGATCTGAGCCAAAATGAGGCTCTCAGGAACAAGTCTAACAATTCCTTCCTAGCCCATTGAACACAGTCCCCTAATGGGGCTCTTATCTCCATAGGTGTACAAGCAGTGTCCTTACAGAAAAAAAATTCTTGGTAGCTTGAAACACTCAGAACATGTGGGTGTCTGAAACACACAGAAATACCCAAAAGAATCTGATTTTAAGCAGCATCCTTTCACTATATAGTACATTGTTGGGATAACTAGGTAAATCAGAATGAGGTCTAAGGATTAGATAAATAGTGGTATTTATTTCCATATTTGGAAGGTTGAATGGTTGTATAGAGGAATGTCCTTTTTTTATATGAAATGCATACCAAAGTACTTGTGATCATGGGCTATCAGGTCAGCAAGTTACTTTCTTATGACTGAAGAAAATAAAAGTTCCATGTATTAAGCTTGCAACTTTTTATAAGTAAAAATTTCTTTAATTTTTGCATTTATTTGTTTACTAGTTTTTGCTTATATGTGCTTTTAAAAATTACAGATACACACACACACTCTCTACAACCTGGCCTAAACCTGTTATTTCAGTATCTTTACTTATATTCCCCTTCATAAATCCTGTACTCCCATTTGTCTAGTTTATTGGCTGTTCCCCAACATAGTCTGCAGACTTTTCTACTGACGTGACTTTGCTTTAATTGTTACCCTTACCCAAGGAACTTTCCCTGCAAAAAATCTGCCATGAAATTCTACTCATCCCTGAAGACCAGTTTAAATGGTGCTATCTCCATGAAATCTTCTATCAGAGCCTAGTCTGATGCTTCATACTTAGTATGTGCTCAAAATATATCTGGTGAAAAGAATTCAGTCACTTAGGATTGGAACACTTAATGGTAAGTTAATAGAAATTGTACATGAGAAATCAGTCCAAAGGTAGATGAACACTTAACTTTTATTCTATGAATAGGAGGTAAAGAATGTATTATCCAGGGTTCCCCAGAGAAACAGAACCAATATATAAAGAGACTTTATTTTAAAGTATTATCTCACACAATGATAGAAGTGGAGAAATCCCACAATCTAAGAGATACAGGAAAGCCAGTGGTGTTTTTTGAAGGAAAGCCTGAGAGCTGGAGGGCCATGGTACAGAATCCAATATGGGCCTGAAGGCCTGAGAACCAGGAATGCTGAGAGGAGCAGATCAATTCCAAGCTCAAGGAGTCAGGCAGAGAGCAAATTCAAACTTCCTCTGCCTTTTTGTTCTATTCAGGCCCTCAATGGATTGGATAGTGCCCACCCACGCTGGGGAAGGCCATCTGCTTTACTCAGTCCACCGATTCAAACGCTGGTCTCTTCCAGAAATGTCCTCAAAGACACATGCAGAAATAATCTTTAACCAGCTATCTGGGCATCCCATGGCCAGTAAAGTTGACACATAAAATTAGCCATTAGAAAGAAGAGGGTCAAAAAAGGGATATACGGTGCTTATCTGCAGGTAAATTTGAGACTGCAATGTAAAGACCCATGGGAAAGAATGTAGAAGAGATTCAAATAATTGTAACTGGCAGTATAGAAACCTAGCCTTGCTATGTTGAAGCACTGGCTAATAAACTAGAAAGCTATTAAAACAAAATAAACTAGAAAGCTATTGAAACAAAAAATAAATGAAGACATTTTCATGTATAAGCAATTAAACAAAGCAAAACAAGAGCTCTAAATATACAGATAATGTGTTTAGATACAATTTTGTCTGACTGTTTGAAGAAACATGGGGTTGGATCACAGGAAAAGATTAATGATAATCCTAAAACATTGTGAGGGGTAGAACAGCCCCCCAAAATGACATATTCTGACTGTATATTTCTTAAACCATTCTCTTCAGAAAAGACGCTCTAAATTTAAAATACAATCATGAGTCGCTTAACAACAGGGATAAATTCTGAGAAATGTGTTGCTAGGCATTTTTGTCATTTTGTGAACATCCTAGAGTGTACTTATACAACCTAGATGGTACAGCCTACTACACGCCTAGGGTAGTTGGTATAGCCTATTGCTCCTAGGCTGCAAACCTGTACAGCATGTTACTGTACTGAATACTACAGGCAGTTGTAACACACTAGTGGGTATTGACATATCTAAACATAGAAACAGTACAGTATAAAAACAATATAAAAGATAAAAAATGGTACACATATATAGGGCACTTATTATGAATGGTGCTTGATGAACTGGAAGTTGCTCTGGGTGAATCGATGAGCGAGTGGTGCATAAATGTGAAGGCCTAGGCCATTACTCTACACTACTGCAGACTTTATAAATATTGTACACTTTGGTTACACTAAATTTATTTTTAGAAATTTTTCTTTCTTTAATAATAATCTTAGCTTACCGTAACTTTTTGTATTAATAAATTTCTTAATTTTTTAAACTTTTTTGACTCACATAATAACACTTAGCTTAAAACACAAATGCATTGTATGGCTGTAAAAAAATTCTTTACATCTTTATTCTATAAGCTTTTCCTATTTTTAAAAGTCTTAACTAATTTTTACTTTTTAAAATTTTTTGTTAAAAACTAAGACAAACACACACATTAGCCTAGGCCTACACGGGATCAGGATCATCAATATCACTATCTTCCACCTCCACATCTTGTCCTACTAGAAGATTTTCATGGGCAATAATATGCATGGAGCTGTCATTTCCTATAACCATAGCTTCCTCTAGAATACCTTCTGAAGGACCTGCCTAAAGCTACTTTACAGTTAATTTATATATATAATATATAAGTAGAACGAGTATACTCTAAAATAACAAGTACAATTATGGTAATTACAGAAACCAATAACATAGTTGTTTATTATCATTATTAAATATTATGTACTATACATAATGTATGTGCTATACTTTTATACAACTGGCAGTGCAGGAGTTTTGTTTATACCAGCATCAGCAAGACATACGAATAATGCGTTATGCTACTATCTGAGGCATTAAAACCAGAGTGAATCCATCTTGAAAAGGGGCTGGGTAAAATGAGGCTGAGACCTACTGGGTTGCATTCCCAGGAGGTTAGCATTCTTTGTCACAGGATATTTACAGCTGGGTCTGTTATATCCTGGGTCTGTTAAGTCCTGGGTCTGACAGGAAATAACAGACCCGGGAAATGTCCTGATGTCCCAATATCGTAAGAACAAAAGCATTCTTAGTTTAAGAATAAGTTTCACTTTAAAGATAAAAATGTAGATTATTAAGACAGTAATTATATACCAATTAACAATCTTTTTGTCACAGCCCTTGTAGTAGAGCACATCTCTTCCATGATATTTTGTTTTCTTACCTTATGTGCAAACAAGCATTGTACCTAATGTGGATGTGTTCCTCCTCTTGCTTCTGGGAATGCCCTCCTCTGTCTATGGAGCAGCTATTCTTTCATTCCTTGCTTTCTTAATAAACTTGTTTTTACTTCGCTCTGTGAACTCACTCCAAATTCTTTTCTTGCACAAGATCCAAGAACCCTCTCTTGGGGTCTGGAAAGGGGCTTCTTTCCCACAACACTGGAACGTCACTAGGCAATAGGAATTTTTCGGCATCACTATAATCTTATGGTACCACCATTGTTTATACAGCCCATCATTGACCAACATGTCATTGTGCAACACATAACTGTGTATGTATCAGTCATAGCTATGAAAGGCCAAGTATATAACTGCTAAAGACACAAAGCATTCCAGCTTCTCCTTGAATTTCCTGTCAAATAAAACCTAGAAGTCAATGATGGTAATTCCTATACATCCAGAGTATTTAATCAGAGGGCTACCATGAGTTGAGCAAACATTGCAGACTGTTACATTAATATGAATTCTACATTTTAAGATGACTTCCTCCAAAGATTAGAAAAAGAACAAAAATGGTTTCAGTTTCTGAAGGAAAATATTGGAATTATGCCAGTCTTCAAGAATCAGCAGTTTGGCAAATGAAGATCTCACAAAACAAAAATAAATAATTTTATACTCAAAGTTGCCATGGTGCAACATCTGTCACTTCACCCTTAACCTTAAACTGTTTTTCTCTATGACATTTTAGGAGGTTAAATATTTCTATTAAGCTGTGGATCGCCTGTTTCTCAATACACTTCACTAACCAAGTTCACTTATAATACCCAAGAAATAAATCTTGCACGGTCTTTACAAAGAAATGCATTTTTATAAAGATTTCCTGAGTAAAATATATTGATCTCAAAAGCGCTTGAAACATCTCCTTTAATTTATGGCTTCATGTTTCCCTGTTTCTAGCATGTCCCACAGACAGATATGCTAGATTTCTTTTTCTTTCTCACAGCAGCCTCCTGAGCCTAGTGTGCCTTGAGGAGGAAGACCCTTAAGACACTTTTTGACCCTGAGATTCAGTCATCTATGAATGTAAAAGGTCTTTGAAGTGATCAATTAGAATTAACATTGTAGGTTTCAAGTCTCCTTTAGCTTTCTCCTTTTCAGGGCTGAAAATTAAACTCACTAGGCAAAAAGAAATCCTGAGGCCAATTTTTTGCAAATTATGCTTCCCTTGGGGTGCTTTCCTAGGGAAGAATTAAAGGATAAGAGGCTCATTTGCACTCTAGGAATGAATAATAATGGCTTATAATGACCATAACAATAAGCACCAGCCTATGCAGTCTAGGGTTTGGAATAAATCAGGGTGGATCTAATACTAACAGGCAGTCGGCAGAGGGCCTAATGAGAAAGGCGATTTCTGTCATGCCTTTCCATTAATTTGTGGTTTGCTTTTTGTGGGTATTGATCTGTAGGTGACCTTTAAGAAATGTCTCTTCCAGGCATGCTTGCTTTCTCTTATCTCTTGATTTGGAGATCACTAGATGTTACTGAGGAAGACCAAGAAGAGAAAAATATGTCTGAAATATGTGAAGAAGGCCTAAGCAAATATAAAGTCTATTTTAGTCTATTTAAGTGAGTTGCTAAGCCTAAAATATTAATAATTGTCGAGAGGTTTATTTGGGAAGACCCAGCAAATTGTAGTAAATCTCTTTCTGCATAAAATATTTCCTGAACCGAATTCTGAGTGGAATAGTGGAAACACTTCACACTTACAAAGTCGATGATATCACATCTTCTTAAATTTTTCCATAAAATAACACTATCATTCTTTCATCCGTAAATGGAATATTCTAAGGCCAGCTGCGTCTATGATAGAAACAGGAGGCAGCCAAGGCCCCCCCACCCCTATCCCTCCAGGTGAAACCCTGCCTTCAATCCTAAAAACAGCCTGAAGGCTGAAAAGCTGAACTGCCAGTCCCGGATGAAGCCCGCCCTTTCCCCCGCCGCCCCCGAGACCTCCCCCGTCCCCTACCTCCCCTCCACCCCGACCTCTCCCACACGACCTCCCCGCCTTCTCCCCTCCCCCCCTTCCCTTTATTCTTTCTGAAGAAGTAAAGAGAGGCTGCGCACTGAGAGGCCGGGGTGGGGCCTCGGGAAGTTCCGCTGTTTGCAGGGAGGAGAAGCCTGGCCTAGGCTCTGCTGTTCCTGGGTGGTGACTTGGGATTCAGTCTGTGAGGTGGAGGCTTGTTAACAGGAATTCCTCTCGCTTTGCTGAGTTTTTTTCCTTTTCGCCCAATAAATTTCGTTCCCCCTCATCCTTCAAAGTGTCTGCGAGCCTCATCTTTCCTGGTCGTGTCACAATAACCTAGCTTTTTCCTACAATATCTATACAAACAAACTCATAAATCATGTGGCTTCCCCTGGTCTTTTGAAAAAAGAGCAAATTAACTTGAAAGTAAATGTTAACATTTTAAACAACCAATTAGAAACTAGTATTGAAAATTAGTTGTTTAGTTAAGACAAGCTGTATGTTCTATAAAGTGATGATTGATTTTTATCACTTCGGGAGGAAAATTTTTCAGAAGAATTTGTCCCTTGGTATGTAAATACTAAGTTCCAGAGAAAAAAACATAGTCTAAAATTCAACAGAGCTGAGTAGCACTGTGTTGAATTTTACTGTTTTCAATTATTAACAAATTCTTATTTTTGGCTACTCTCAATAAAATTTAACAGTAAATAGCACAGTGTAGCGTTTCAAAGTTAATGAGAATTATTAATAGTAATTTTTATCATAGGCCCTCCCTACAATGCTAGTAGATTAATAACTAAATAGGGAAGTTACCCACAGCTTGGTTGCCAGGAAGAATTACATAAACTAATTAACAGAAAATCTTGGAGGAAACTGGTTTCATTTAAAATCTTGATAAAAGAAGGGAAAGATGCCAAAAAGGAAAAAATAAGTAGATTTTCCTACATACTAACTATTGTTTCTTTGTAATAAAATATATTGTAGCCAGAATAAAAGGTAAAAGGCTAATAAATATTTTCAGAAAAAACATAAAACTGCAAAGATAAAATGCAAGCACATATAAGGAAAATTAGTAAACAAATAAAAGGAAAAATTAAATAAAATTTTCATTAAAATGTGGAAAACATATACCTAATAAATATACACAGTGAAAGTACAGTAATAATTTATGCTAATATGTTTAATGTGTATAATAAAATAATTTATGATAACGTGTATATTTACATTGATATCATTTTAGAAATCATTTTTACTCTGGGTTCCAAATATTACATAAATGTTAGTCTCCTTCAATGCAGTAATCTCACTCTAGGGAATTTTCCTAAAGATTATGTAAAATAACTAATATTTCTATTCATTGTAGATTTACTTATAACAGAAAAAGACCTAGCTACTTGGCAATAGTTATTGCCAAATGGTTAAGTAAATTCTGGCCTATCAATTCGATGAAGTATTATTGGGCAATAACTAAGTTGCTATTTATGAGACTTCTGTAGGAACATTTGACAAATATTAAGTGCAAATAACTGTCAAAAACTTTACATAGCTGCCAAGAATCGAAAAGAAGGTGGAAAAAATTTTGAGTGGAAATATCACGAATGCTATGTCTAATCTTTTGCCACATTTTTATTCTAGCTTATTTACAGGGAAAGACAGTAGATTAAAAGCTTGCTCAAGCTTTTATTGGAATTCAATGATTTCAAAATAGTGATAAAATAGTGATTTCAAAAAACTGATAAAATATCAGTTATTCTAGCTGAATTTGCATTGTACTTTTTTTCCAAAAACAACATCCTTCAAGTATAAATGTGCTGTAAAATAATATTCAATACAATATTTCACCAGCGCAGTTAACTCAGACAGACAACGTTTGACAGGACGTTATACTGAACTAATTGATAACGTTTTAGATTTCAGAACTAGGAACTAAGGTCTGGCACAGACCGAAGGCAACCCAGATAGAACCACAGCTGTTTTAAGTAGATATCGTCTCGAAGTTCTTAGTGAGGAGAAAGTAAAACTGATACGAGAACTCTCTTCTATATTCTTTATAATTTACCTATATGGTTATATGAAAAAATTGTCACAGGAATTTCATTAGAATGTAAGCTCAGTCTGCCTCCAAAATGCTTTGGCTGCTTTCTTAAAACCCTCAGTCAATTAGAGCAGGGGTCAAAAGCTAAGGGCCTGGGGGAAATCTGGCTTACAGATTTTTGTTTGTGTGGAAATAGCTTTGATAAAGTTTGAACTGATATACTTCATGGTGGTGTTAGCAGTCTAGACCAATTCAGACATTTATGTTACTTGCCTGGATCCCAGAGGCATTTAAGCTGATGATGTCTGTATTAGGACATTTGAGACCCAGAAATGGTGAAGCGACTGTGATCTGAAAAGTCTTCCGAGTGGGCCCATTATGGGATCCCCCTAGAGCTCCCTAATTTGTTGATAGCTCAATTTTTCTAGGAGGCCTGGGACTGTGGCAACTGAATTTCAATTCTTCAATTCTTCATGGATATGTGGTTGCAGAGGTTGGGGAGATAGGATCCTCTCACCCCTGAGCTTTCTTATCTTAGCCCCAGGGGTTGAGATATTTTGTAGCTGTTGTCTTGGGATCAAACCATCAGTGTAAGGTTGGAATCGACCAGCCTTCAGTAAGTTAGAAAGCACTTCAGTAAGTTAGAAAGCACTTTTCCTCTTTCTGTGCCTCCTACTGGAGAAAGGCAGCTCCCAGCAACCCTTAACTGACTAGCAGATGTAATATTCTAATATAATGATGTTGGCACTATTGATAGTATATGGAGAGTTTTCTGCCCCTGTTTAAAACGAAAATACAATCATTTGGAACATATTGCAATTAGGCATGCATCTCACATAACACCCTTTACCTGAGAATCTCAGATGTGTATAGAAATTAGCTGATTTACCTTTAATGAATGATATATTTTTAATTCTTAGAGCCTGCAGACCGCATATAGAAAACATAAATGGAATTCCAAGGTTGAAAAAAAAGACATAGTAAAACAAATAAAAAACATTGTCT